CCGGCTCCACTTGCTCGGTGGCCACCTCCGCTGCCAGCTGCAGCTCGATGTGCCCCGGGCCCGCGCCAGCCCCATCCTCGCCCGCTTCCCCATCCTGCTGCGGCAAGTGGCCGCCGCCAGCCACCTCAGGTGGGCACGGTGGGATGGCGTGATGGCCACGGCTGGCTGCTTCGTGGCCACTGGGAAGAAACGTATCAAAGGAGGGTGGGGGACACTGGAACAGGTTGCCCAGGGAAGTTGGTGGTTGGCCCATCGTGGAAGTGGTCAAGGTCAGGTTGGACCGGGCTTTGAGCAATGTGGTCTAGTAGCTGTCCCTGCTCATGGCAGTGGGGTTGGACTGGATGATCTTTGGAGATCCCTTCCAACCCAAAACATTCTGTGAGCCCATGACCCGAGATCCCGTTGCTGCCCTGAGGCTCTCACCACCAGCCACCCTGCCCTGTGGGGCAAGAATGTTTCACTCAGTCCTGTAACACCCACGTAGTCCCACTTCTGTCCGGGGAAAATCCCATCCCTGTTTGGTGGGTCATCACCTAACCACACCTGAATATCTCAGTCAAGTGACCGTCCACCAAATTCCCTTCCCAGATCCACCATCCTGCAGGAGAGCAAGTCCCTGCTGAAGAGCCAGACGGTGTCGGACCAGGCGGTAGCAGAAGCCCTGTGTGCCATCATGCTGCTGGAGGACAGCTCTCCACGCCAGGCACTTGCTGACTTTCTTCTGGCCAGGAAATTGGCCATTCAGCAGCTCCTCAACCAGCCACACCACGGTCAGTACGATGGGGCTACCACCTTTTTAAAGTCAGGGTAGTCCCCTTCATCTCCCTCTTGCCCCACAGAGTAGCAGGTGGGTAAAGCTCACGATGGTGGGGATGCAACCATGTCATGCTGGCAGTGTTTTGCCCCAAATGCCACAACAATTAACAGTGCTCGGGGTCTTAAGCCAAGCTCATCTGTAATGGGGAAGGAGGTGGTGCCTGGGGATGAGTCCTTTGCCCTCCAGTTCTTCCCTGGAACATTCCACTGGTCCCTCTGTTGAAGGGGCTGCCTTGGCTGAAAGGCATTTCTCTGCAGGTGCAGGGATAAAGGCTCAGGTGTGTTCCCTGATGGAGCTGCTAACCACTACCCTGTACCAGGCTCATGCTCTCTTCTACACCCTGCCCGAAGGGATGGTGCCGGATCCTGCTCTGCCCTGCGGCTTGCTCTTCTCCACCCTGGAGAGCACCACAGCCCCGCACCCAGCAGGTGAGCACGCGGGCAGCTCTGTGTCAGGCTCCTGCCCACCTGGGTTTGCAGGCAGGAGGCTCCCCCTGTGCGGGGCTGATCCCTGCCTCTGTGCTTCCAGGGAGAGGTGGGGTTTTAGAGGAGGAGGTGAAGCTGAGCAGCTGGTTCAGGTACCTCCCGGAGTCTGTGGTGGAGTTCCAGCCGGCCCTGCGGACGCTGGCACACCCCATCAGCCAGGACTACCTCAGAGACACGCTGCAGAAGTGGATCGCCATGTGAGTGTGCCTGTCCCCCTTCACAGGGCTCCCCTAGACGCTGCGTGGCCTCTGTGCCAAGGTAGCAGCCCAAAGCAAACCCACGCTCGCTTATTTCCTCACTCTCCCCAGCCAGGCCATGCCTTCCACTGGCTTTTGGCCCAACATCCCCTCTCCCCAGCAGTGAAACAGCTGGAGGCAGCACAGCACCATCCTGACAGCCAGGCTGTAACGCTGACAGAACAGGGGCTGTACAGGGCCACTTGTCTAGAGCTGCTTTATGCTGCTGTAACCACCCACAAACAAGCCCAGAGTAAAATGAGAAGAAAATCCCTTACCTGGCTCGCTTTGCTCTTGATCCAGCACCTCCTTTCTCCTCGCTGCCCTTCCCTGGACTGGGTGGGGGCAGCCAGACCCCCTTTATAGAGTTGCCAGCTCCACCCCCATCGCACCGTGCCTTGCCCTGCAGCTGGGGACAGCCCAGCAGCCCCGCCTACCCCTTAACAGCCTCCTCAGTCCTGTCTCGTTAGCCCATGGGGCCAGGGCCATGGGCTATTTGCCCAGAACCCCCACCTGCCTGCCCTCCCTCCCTCCCTGCTGTCATTCCTGGGGCTTTCCCAGGGCACTGTGCTCCCAGTTTTGACACCCACCACAGCCCAGGGTTCCTGCCAGTGGGCACGTGGCCTTCCTGTGGGATCCAGGGCGGGGGGCAGCTGCCTTGCCGAGAGGCAGAGGTGCCCTCAGCCCTGTGGGGGATTGTGCAGGCAGAGCCTTTTACCCACAGGTTAACAATTTCTCTGCCCTGACATAGCCCACGTTCTCTCCTTCCTTCTCCGGGGCTGAGTCCGAGCAGCTCAGACTGATGTGAATTGTTGCATTCAGGTGCAGTGACGACATCAGGGCTGGGGTCAGCAACCTGCTGGTCTACGTGAAGAGCATGAAAGGCCTCGCAGGGATTCGCGACGCGGTGTGGGAGCTGCTCACCAGTGAGTCCATAAGCCAGAACTGGGAAGCGGTGTGCCGCCGTCTTTTGGACAAGCCCGCTTCCTTCTGGGAGGACCTGCTGCAGCAGCTCTTCCTGGACAGGCTAGAGGTGGGTGCTGTGCTGCAGCAATTCCTGGGGAGCCTTGCTCTGTGCCCCCCCTCTTGTAGTCTCGAGCGGCCCACTGGTGCCTGTTAGCAGCCCTAAGTGTGTATTTTCAGTGCTAAGTGGCAGGAGACACATGTAAAAGGTGTGGGATTTTTATTTTTCCTCTTCGTTCTGTTCCAGACACTGACCAAGGAAGGGTTTGACTCTATCTCAAGCAGCTCCAAACAGCTTCTCACCTTAGCCTTGCAAGAACTCGAAGTCAAATCCAGCAACTCTACCCTCAGCAAGCACATCCAGTTTGAACACAACGTGGCCCAGTTCCTGTGGTCGGAGAGCTCCGGTGACCTGCCTTCCGACGCCGCCTGGGTCAACGTGGCAAACCGTGGCCAGTTGGCTAAGAGCGGCCTGTCCATGAAGGCCCAGGCGCTGACGCCGTGCGTGCAGAGCTTCTGCTCGGCTCTGGACTCCAAGCTGAAGGCCAGGTTGGACGATCTCCTCTCCTACCTCCCCACAGACTCCTCAGCCGCCAAGGAGGCCGCTCCCACAGGGCAGCCACGCTCTGCCTTCGACCGCTACGCTGACGCCGGCACGGTGGAGGGGCTGCTCCGCCACCACTGCGTCGCTTGCATCCACCACATCCTGGGCTGCATGCGTGAGGAGCTCCAGAGCGCTCAGAGCTTGCTGGGGGGGCAGGATGATGCTCCCAGCGATGCCAGACTCAACGCTGTTCTCTTCATGGCGAGACTCTGCCAGTCCCTGACCGAGCTCTGCCCTCACCTGAAGCGCTGTATCCTGGGCCGGTCGGGCAGCGTGGAGATGGCGCCGAAGGAAACACGTTCTGCCAAGAAACTGGGCAAGGGGAAAGTGGCCCCAGAAGTGACCCCCGTGCAGGCCAAGTGGCAGGGGGTGAAGGCAGAGCTCCTGCAGCAGAGCCTGTTTGCTTATCAGATCTGGAGCTCGGCCGTTACCAAAGTAAGGAGCCGTTTCTCTCCTCGCAGCTGCTTCCTGCGTGGGTTTCGCTCTCGGTCAGTGCTGCTGCTCCCCAGCTGGCTGCTGAGAGCTCGCCCCGCCGCTGCCGCGCTGCTCGGTGAGCCTGCGGCAACACGAGGTGGGGCTGGCAGCGCTGAGGTGGCAGCCGGGGGGATGATTTCCAGGAGAGTCACTTGGGGGGTGATGTGGGCGGTGGGTCTCTCCAGGCAGGAGCAGGTTGCCCATCCTTTGGTGCTCCTGGTAGAGCTGCCTGTCCCGTGACCGGCTGCTTTTGTGTTCTGCGCTCCAGGGTGTGGTTCAGTGCTTTACCCGCACGTTGCTGCTCGACACAGCTGGCTCTGTCTTGGCTGCAGCCACCAACTGGGATGAAATTGAAATTCAGGAGGAGACAGAGTCTGGAAACAGCGTCACGTCAAAGATCCGGCTGCCTGTGCAGGTATGAGAAACGTCCTCTCGGTAAACACAGAGGAGAAGGGTCTGCTGGGAGGAGAAAAGCACCTGTTTCCAAAATCCCTGCTTTGTCAGATGGTGCTGACCTGCTGTGGTGTTACAAGCAGAGGGAAACACTCTCCGTTGTTCTTATTTGCTCTTTGAGATCCTCCCCTCCTAAGGACAGAGGCAGGAAACTAGGTAGTTGCTGCTGTATATCCAAATAGTCTGGTGTGTCAGGAAATAAAAACCCGTGAGATACTTGTGCCACGCTACGGGGGCAGATGGGTCTCGGCAGCAGAGCTTTGTGGTTGCTGAGGGAGTAGGAAGCTCACATGATGAGAACTGAAGCGATGTTGTGCCGCTGATAAAGTGAAGGAGCTTACAGCCCACGGGAAAGGAACGCTCTTTTTTCTTAAAACAGCCGTCGTGGTACGTCCAGTGCCTCCTCTTCAGCCTGTGCCAAGAGGTGAACCGGGTCGGTGGCCACACTCTTCCAAAAGTCACCTTGCAGGAGCTGCTGAGGACCTGCATGGCAGAAGTGCTGGCTGCCTACAAAAAGCTCATGGAAGAGAAGCAGGAGAAGGTACGTGAGTAGTAGGATCAGCCCTTGCTGCAGCTGGTGTGGGGCAGGAGGGTGGCTCGGTGGTGCCCTCGGAACAGCAAATATCTGCCTGTGAGGTGGAAAGGGCATGTTCTTTCCCTTCTCCCCCAAAAATGAGGCACGGAGGGATCAGACACCAGACTGCACACTCAGACTGGTTCTGAGGTCGGTTGTTTCTTGGTGCTGGTGTTTTTAAACATTTCCCCTGCTCTCGGTGTGAGTGAAGAGCCCTGTCCCATCCCTCCTATTTGCAGAAAGCTGGCACCTTCCCCATGACCCAGAACAGAGCTCTGCAGCTGCTCTACGATCTGTGGTACCTGAGTATCATCTTGACAGCGAAGAGCGAGGAAGCAAAAACCAGCAGGATCAAGCACGACTCTGGGTGCGGTGCAGTTCTGGGGTTCAGAGACTCGTAGTTTGTGAGGCCCTAAAACGGTCTAAACCTTAGCGGTGGCGGGGAGGATGCCAGCGGGAGCAGGGCCGTGGGGCCTCAGGGGAGAAGGGCAGCGCAGGCTCCGACATCTTTGCTGACACTTAAGCTCATCCTCAAAATACAGAAGGAGGGATTCTGCAGTGGATGCCCCGGGAGGGAACAGTTAGGCTTCCACCCTAAATAAAACCTTGAGTACTGAGGCTTCTCTCCAAGATGTACCACGGGGAGAAGGTTCATTTGCAACAGCCAATGTTGTAGGCTGTGTAGTAGCTGGAAACCCTGCTGCTCTGCTGAGTAATTCCCGTTTTGCTCAGTCACCTCTGAGGGGCAAGTCCCTCCCTGTTGGAGAGGGGCTGGTGAAACTGCCCTGTTGGCGTCGCAGCTGTCGCTGTGCCATTGCCCCTGACAGGATTCCTCTGCTCTGCCCGTAGGATCGAGGCGGTGACCGACTTCCTGGAGGGGCACATAGATCCCTTTGACTTGGATGTTTTCACTCCGCACTTGAACAGCAACCTTAATCGCCTGGTTCAGCGAACCTCTGTAAGTTGAAGGGAAAGGGAGGGACGGATCAGGAAGCAGAGCTGCAAAAACACGTTCTGAAGGGCAGCCGGGGTGGCTTTATAAACTGCTTAATGCCTAAGGATAACTACTGGCACTTACTCAGAAACGGGAAGAGTGTTTAATGCCAGCTGAAGATAAGAGGAGCTTGCTGAGCTGGCTGCATGGCACATAATCGTGCGTGGAGTTGGCTGAACTTCTATCTAACAGGATTCACTGGGACCTGGGCAATGCTAATCAGGTTAAGTAGTGCTGAAACAGGCCTAGAACTCAGCTATGGTAATAACGAGCCCCACGGCTCCTTCCTGCCTTCCAGGTTCTCTTCGGGTTGCTGACTGGGACAGAGAACCAGTACCCGGGCCGGAGCGGCGCTCTCAGTTCCCAGGAGCTCCACAACATCCTGCCGTTAGCGTCCAGCCAGATCAGGTACAAGACCCAGCTCTTTGCCTCGGGAAGCAGGTCTAGAATTGCTTCTTCCCTGTGACCAGCCCCCTTTCTTTCTTCCATCTCTTCAGATTTGGCCTTCTGCCGCTGAGTATGTCGAGTTCGCGGAAGAGCAAGTCTGCTCCCAGGAGCACAGAAAGAGCTCAGGTTGGTAAAATGGAGCCATATGAACTTTTTTCCATTACTCTAACCAACACTGAGCTTGTGGGGAAAGAAGAAAGTAGCCAAACAGTTAATATTTAACCTGATTTTTTTTTATTTTGGGTAAAATGAGAGAGCCATTATGGCAACATAGCATGAGATGGGTTTGGATTTCCCCTTGCCCCTCAAAAAACCCTGATGGCCCCTGTATTTTTGGGGCCCACTGCCCTGTGGTAAAATACAAGCCATAACCGCCGTGAAAATGCAGTGAAGCCTGACACAGATGAGGCATTTTTGAAGTCAATACATAAAAGACAATTCATTGAAAGGTGGCTGCAGGAAACATTGCAGATTACTAGATAATGATTTGAACTTCTTTTCAGTGCACCGTGGACCCTTAACTCCTGAGGAAGTCTGGCTTGGGTATTTAAGCCTGTGTGAAGAGTGGCTTGCTTCTCTTGCAAAGACTTTGTTGTCCTCTTTCTGACTTCTCCCAGTAGTCAACCATCGTGTTGCTACGTTTACCCCAGTTTCAAACACCCGCTTAGACGCAAGGTCTCTATGCTGAGGATTGAGAGAGCCAAGGAATACCTCACTGCTACGGGGAGCTGTAATTAGTAATTGCTTTCCTTTAGCTATTATTAACTCAATAATCCGTCTGTGGTGCTCTTTTGAACTGGGAGAGTAAAAGTCTGGTTTTATCAGAGCAGGGTGTTACTTGAGATGCTGATGTTTTACGCTGCAGCTCTCGTTCTCCATTATTCTGAAGCATTAAGGTGTCAGGGCTGGTTAAAAGCCCAAAGCTTCACCACAAAGGTATTCCCTGCCTCTTACACCTCAGCTGGAGTAGTGCAGAAGTGTGCAGTGATGTCTGGCTGGCTCCTACCGCTCCCCTCGCCTGCTGTGGTGCCACGGGGAGGTTGTGCACTAGCCACACTTCTCAAGCCTCGACAGCCGCTCGCTCCTTCTGCGCTAAAACAGTTCTGGAGAGTTTAAAGGCCGTAGTTCCTCAAGCACAGTGCTCTGCAAGGGCAACAGCTGTACTTCTACCGTGCTGCTGGCCCGTTGTGCTCAGCCGCAGCCCCTTCCCTGCAGCTCAGAACAAAGATTTTTTTTTTTGAGCATTGGATAACGTCGGTAAAATTACCTGTTGCTGACAGCACAGTGCTGGGCTTCTGCTGCTCGGACCTGCCTCTGTCTGCCTCTCGCTGAGCGACACCGCTGAGGTGGTGGCTCCAGCTCAGGTTGCCAGGGACTAGCTGCTCTGTAGTCTACACCTCCTTGCAGCTACTCTCGATGAGGGTATGGAGTGAGTCAAAGGTCTGCTGAAATGGTTACTGACGCTTTTTTTTTTTAAAACCTAACAGGTTCCACCTCCTGCCCTCCCAAGAATGGACGACGAGGCGTCGCGCCCTGGCTCTTTGTTCAGGCAGCTCGTAACCGAGGAGGAAGACACAGCTGCCCCTTCTCTCTTCAAGCTGGGGTGGCTTTCTGGCATGACCAAGTGATGCAATAAAAAAAATAAGAAGTTTGTCTGTGTACTTGTCTTCACAGAGATCGCTCTCCTCTCCTTGCTACGGCAGAATTGCTTTTCCATTCTTTGCCAGATCCCACGTGCCGCTTGAACCAGGCACAGGGCAGATTGTCCTTGCCCTCTGGCTGCTGAACAGAGGTGCAGCTTATCTTTCACCCCTTATTCCTTAAAAGTTGTTAACTATAAAGTCAAATTGAAGAAAAAAAACAACAAAACAATCTACACACTTAACAGAAAACACATTTCACAGCTCGAAAGGGGCAGTGGAGCACTGTAGGCTGCCTCTCTCATTCCAAAGCCCCTCCCCAGGCCCCACAGCTCTGCTCTGGGTGAACCCAGCAGGCACCTGATGTTTCAGCTACAGCTGTCTCAGCTTTCCTGGTTCTCCTTTCACAATTTTTTTTTTTTTTTCAGTGCTGCAGCAGTAAAGATCAAGATAAGGCCTAAGCTGGGTGGAAAGTTCACAGCTGGGGCAGTCCTAAGGGATTCCAGTGCCAGCACCTCTTCTGTCTCATTAACTCTACAGGCTCAAAAAAAGTATGTTGCCAAATAAATTTTTTACTAGTTTATTGAAATTAAAAAAAGACTTATAAAACTGAAGATGAATGTTTGAGAGAACTTTACATAAAGCAACAAATTGCTAACAAACAGATTAGGCAGTCGATTGGAATTGGACATTTTGCAACCCTATAACACAGATGTGGATTCCTCAGTCTCCTCTTGCCACGTACTTTGTAACCACCCCAAAAAGAATCCTATAAAAATTGCTTCAAAGCCCCTTTTGCATTGCAATAGTGCAGCAAACCACAAGTAAACAATTTCCTGTTAACCTGTTATTTCAAATATAGACTGAAAAGGCAACAGGCGTTTTGTGCAATTCCATTTTAACGAACTTTTAAGTTGAAATATCAAATCTACACAGTGCTGTCCCTTCACAGAAGGCAGGGAACTGCTGGTTCATCATGTGGGAAGGCGTCCCCGGCTCTGTAAGCTGTGAAAGTGTGCCTCCTTCAGGATCTGGTTGATGTGGAAGTAAGGACCTTGGCTTAGTGCAGACTGCTCATGGAAGGACTGAGAGGAGACAGGGCTGGATCCCGCAATTATGGGGTTTAGGCTGGTTTCTGCACCGCATGCTCTGTCAGGGCTGTTGATGCTACTGCTACTACAGCTGCTGCTGCTGCTGCTGCCGCTATCGCTGCTGGAGGACTGAGACAAAGAGAAGGTTAACAGCAAAATCACACAGCTCGCTCTCCTGTCCTTAACAAAACGCCTCAGGTAAGCAAACAATCCTTACAGCAAGTCCCTCCCTTCCAGATTTGCAGGCTCACACGTTCAGCCTGATGGACTAAGGTAAATCCACCAAGTGCTCTCTTGGCATTCACAGCTTCCGTTATTGCCAACACAGGAGAAGCGTCACCGAGCTGAAGGGAGGAGCAAGCCTTCACCCGGAGGGTCACCGACCTCCAGCACAGTGGATTTCAATCTCTTGGTTTTAGGCCCACCAGCTCTGCCCCCATGACCCACGTTAGCACTAGTGAAGTTTGCTGAATTCATCCGAGAATTGGAAAATAAAGAACATTCCTGCTGAACTGCACAGGTCAGTAAAGGCAGGCAGGGCACAAGGAAAAGTTTATCGCTTCTGTTCTAGCAGACATTTTAGGTAAGCACCATGCAAAGCATTTTCCTACAAGTCAAATCTTTCTAAAATGAGATCTGAAGCATCCAAAGCAACAGGCTGTTAAAATCAAATGCCGCACAATACCCATTTTAAGTCTTTGAACACCTTGACATATATACATCTACTCTTCTCCCAGTTAAGCACTGGGACAGCAATGTTAACTGGAAGCTTTTCATAACAATTTACTCGACACAACAGTGAAAGAGCGACAGGCATCAAAGACTTCCACATGCAGGAAAGAGAACTCATGATTTAGCTCACAGGACAGGGCTTATTTGCCAGCATTTAGGATAAACACATTTCACGGTAATGACTGGAAGAGCATTAGCCATCATTTTCAGTGTTTCAAAGACATAAAACTGTTTGGTTTACCCCATTTTAAGTGCTGCTAATGAAAGGTTCCATCAGTTACAGCTGAAATATTTCATTGCTGTGTGATATGCTGTTCAGGACAACACTACAAATATTTAGGTGCTTAAGAATGAGAGAACAGCTACTTTGCCATCCCATAAGAAGTTAATTCACAGAAGCAGCCAGCGTAAGTGACAGCAGCTAAAAAAAAAAAACAAAAAACCAAAAACCACCCACATTTTTGTTAAGTATTAAACCAAAACCACAGAAGTCAAAGCTTGGTGGCCACAGCAGAGGCAGACAAATTTAAAGACGTCCTCAGTAATTTAACAGTCAGCACCGCATTCAGAAGGCCCCACTTTGGGGTAAATCTGAAAAATGGTGCAAACTGCACCCGACATATCTGTCAGTGAGCAGCGAGCAAGGCCCAGGAAGGCACTGTGTGAGTATTTGAGGTGGGCCACATCTCAGTGCCGACTGGAAACCCCACGGCACTGATTCCACAATCGATAGCGACAATTTAACCACGTAAAATTCCCTGGTTTTGCTAAGCACCAAAAATGCTTCAGTTCTGTTGTAGTACAGCAAGCAAGACAATGGCACCAAGGTTGCACCGGCGTGTTAGGTTCAGCTAGCGAGGAGAAAACAACACCACACACGTGAGTGAAGTCGTTCTCGAGGAAGCAGCAGATGTAACTACATGAGCTACCAGCTCCTCATCCTAATGCTAAAGAGGGAGAGAAACACCAGAAGGACAGAGAGGAGCCACGAAATGGTGCTTGCTAGACCATCTCAGTTTGCATAGAAGCACAAAGATTGAAATGCAATGCTGTTACGCTGAACAAATCACAGCAGCCTTGGAGAGAAACCCACCGCACAGGACACTTTGTTTCCTTTTAGTCTGTGTTCCTTATTGTTTTTCGTTACAGCCACCTTCTGAAAATCAAGGTAAAAATCGAAATGAGAACCTAGTATTACGTACTGCTAAAGTTTCACATCTTAACAAACATTTTAGAGCTGTTAGTAATGATTATTTTATGCATGTCTAATTTTTTAAAAACCGAGATAGTGTCCTGGGACGTGCTTCATACATCTAAGGCTGTTGACAGATCTGGTTTGTCAGACCCTCTTTATTTCCATTTCTCTAATGCAAAAATTCACTAGCACGTGAAGCCCGTTTATTGCCCAAATCACGTCAAAGACCTACCATTTCCCCAGGCTGTGGTGCACATTCTGTTAGGCATTTGGACTACAATTAGACAAAAAAAGAATCCTTAAAGTCATCATGTCAGCAATGACAGGCATCTACACAATGAAACAAAGTTTTAAGCAAAAGGGCAAAGGAAAGTAGCCCAACAAAAGTTTAAGTATCAAAAGGGCCGTCTTCAAGGTTTACCCAACCCATCAGCCCCTCTTAACATCACACCGAGCAGCTTTAGAAATTTTAAATCATTTCCAAACAAATGTCCCATTAAACGTATTCATCGGATGATCTGTGATACGGCACCTCAATCACTCATGACAGGAACTTAAGAAACAGCCATTCAGACTCTGCTGTTCTCAAAAATCTTTCAAGATGGGTTTAACAGAGACGTTACCTGGGTTTAGCTAGAATTTAAGACCAGCTCGTCCTCAATAGTGCAATACTGCAGAGCGGCATAGCTGCAGTGCTAGACAAAAACTTTTGAGAAGCAACTGCTGCCATGCCTCGGCAATCTCCACCAGTACGACAGTGGTACCTCTAATCTCTGGGGAATCCTGCCATCGGCCAGAGTAACAAAGAGGAACTACAAGAAATTAGGTTTTACAGAAGTTATTCAGGAAGGAAGAGAGTTACCCAGAACACTGCAGACTCTCTTCCTTCCCAGGGAAAATCAGAGCAAAGGGCTTTTCATCGATTCCCCGGGTTGCAGAACACAACTGCAGCTTCTCCCAGTTTCCGTGAGCAGCCGCTTGCAGTCGGCCCTCGGAGGATACACCTCAATTCTGCCTGACTTGAGGCTGAATTTATAACCAAGTACCAGGGAAAACAACCCAGCGAGCCTCCTGGTAAACGGAGGAGAGGCTGAACAGGAAGTGAAACAGAGTGGCACAGCTCTGCTTTGCTAATCTTTAAGGTTGTCTGTAGTTCTAGTCTAGCGTGTTGGTCGTGTGCCTGCTCACGGACTGAACTGCAAAGCAGAAGTTTACTGTCGTCCTCGGGGTGGCTGTCACCCAGGAGTGTGGGTTTGTTCCACGAAGAGCAGGAATTGCACATCCTTATAGCAATGTGCCAGAAAGCAGTGCTGACAGAGACTGAATAATCTCAGGTTCCCTCCTGTCAAAGTCGGAGTCAAGGCTGCTGTCTACCCTGGATGAGAGAGCAATCTAGTGGGAGAAAACAGCCAGATCCTTTTGCATGGAATCTAGCTCACCTCAGCAGTAAGATTCAAAGTGAGGGTCTGTGGAGTAACATCACAGAACAGCCCACATTTGAACTGCCACTAAGAAGAAAAAAATTAAATCTCCCTTCCTCTTACACACATTGCTGTCAGCTCTGAAGAGTAAGAGAAAAAAAAATGGAAAGAGATCCTGACAAAAGCCAAGTCCAGTTTTAGCAATAGGGCTGCCTGATTTTCCTAGTGAGGTTATGTCCTCATGCAAACCACACTCTGTAAGAGAAAACAGTCCATTTGCAAGTAAAGGAAGGCAAAAGGAATCGGTACTTTAGCTAATGTTTCACAAAAAGCAGGTGAGCATACGCCTGCAGATGAAAAGCAAGTCTCTTCTCACAGACCCTTTGAAGTTACAAATTGCTCCTACACACAGACTCTCTCCCTGTTCAATATCCTAAAGCTAATGAGGATTTTTAATCAGCCAGAGCTGCCTTTGCAAATGGCAAATTATCAGGAGACTAAATAATATTACAAATGGCCAAGAATTTCAAAGTGACATCAATCGGAAGCACTTGTGCATTATAAGCACAAGAATTTCCCCATTTGGCACAGGAAGTCCTTAAAGAAACATTCGAGTAATACTGATTTAATCTCACGGCTTGAATTTCTGGGCATGCTCAATTCGGTGATCCTACATTACGAGAAAACAAGCACACACACACACACACACACACACACACGCAAAAAAAAAAAAAAAAAGCTCTATTCATCTGTAAACGACACTGAGAATTTTGTTCCCTCGAGAAAGGGAACGTCGATTTTTGTAAAACTGTGTCCAGCAGGCGCATTCCTCCACTTCAGCGTCAACGGGAAGGGATTCTCCTTGCCTGCACACCGGGGTTTAATGTGTTAAAAACATACTTTTACAACACAAGGGCATGCAGGAAGCAGGACTCTTAATGTTAGCCTCAGGCAGGGACCTCGGCAGCGGTTCTGCCCCGCGGGGCTGGCAGGTCATGCCCATGCTGTTGGCTTGCAGGCACCCCAAACAGAACGGCCGTTAAGGACAGAGTTAAGGTGTGTGGCTACTACACGACTACTTCAATTTCTGCATTTTAGCAGCTTTGCCCAGTCAAATGCCAAGTGTTTACATGACAAGCAAAAGTGCTTCTGCCACTCACCATTAAGGTTTTTCCTGATATTCTTAAATTTCATTACTCCTACTTCAATCCCTTGTTCCACACTAAATTCTTCCTCCTCCCGCCACAAAGCTCGTTTAGTCATTAACTACTCTACACAGGAAGAGGTGTTTAACCTGTTGGACAAGTGATTCAGTGTCAGAGGCAAGCAACTATTTACGGTTCTACCCGTTATACCCGAGAAACAAAAACAACTTCATCCCAGCAAGTCTTACTTCTGGCAAAACAGCAATACAGGAAACCGGGAACATTTTTCATCACAGCAAATTCCTTCACGATTAACATCTCAGCTGTTAAGGGGGGTTTCTGTGCCATATCACTGACTATCGCATCAGCTACGTGTAAAGGTGTACTGGTTAAGAGTCTCCCTCACAAAAGGAATGGTGGGATACAGAGCTTTCTATCATTTTAAATGTAATTACATATTTGAAGTCATTCCCATACGTTGCTCAAAGCTACATAGCAGAAAACATTTTCTGCACTCAAAGTATAGTTAATAATTCAGGATAACTGCAACAGCTTGTAGTTACTCATTACAGCAAAATCTTCAGAGAGGGCTGTACAAAAAAGCAGCAAGGATATTTCAAAAAACCTTAAAAGAAATTCATTTCATTAACTTCCAGGGACACAAACCAGGAGGGGGCCTTTGCTCTGCATGCTCTTTTTCAGTAACATTTTGCAACAGAACTGCATTGCTAATTAGAAATGCATACAGTGAATTTTCAGATGATTAATACAGGCAACAATTCAGGAAATCTGGCAGCAGGTTGGAAATCAGCACTTCTTTTAAAAAGAAATCTCACAGCTAGCAAACTGCACTATCCTAGAACACCTGTCACATGAGCAGTGAGAGAATAAGAGACAGTTTATCCCACGTCCAGCAAAAGACCGTGGGGAGTATGAGTAGAAACCAGTTTGAGTTCAGCTGGTTTAGCTGTGAACGAGCGAGTCCTGTTTAAACTGCCAAGCTCTACCAGGGCATTTTTTAAACATCAGATAAACAGTGCTGCTTGCAACAGGCACTTTATGTATCGCACTAGCTGGAATGCTTTTTGACTTTCTACCACAAATAACCACGTTACTGTAAGTAAATGCAAAACTGGAAGAGTAAACGGCCAGCAAAGCGACCACACGTGCTTGTAATCCACCCCAGTCATCTCCTGGGGTCTGGATACGTTACACCTCATGTCAGGCAGCAAAACTAAGAGTGGCAGCAAATGTTTTTCTTGTATCTTCACTTAAGCACTACACATCAGTATCTGAAATTTATTAACAGAAATATTCAGGCCAAAGCTAACCAGCTTCACTGGAAAACATGCTGATTCCCAAACCACGTTTTACAGATTTCAACCTCTGAAGTATGTTAACAGAGTAAAGCCCCATGACTTCGTACACAAAGCAAAATAAAGTGTTTTCAGTAACTACTCTCCATCAATAAAATCTTACAGAATATTCCAACTGTTATTTAAAGTCAGCATTAGAGAAAACTGAATTTGCCCGAGAAGGCTCTCACCTCAGTGTCCCAAGAGTCCTGAAGCACAGTATTCCTGGTACTACGTTTTGTCTGGGGAACGTGACCATCATCTTCATTGCCGTTCCTTCTCCTCTTCCTGAGGAAAGTTCAGGGAGAAAGGAGGAAAAAAAAATATTATCAGCTTACTGATATACCTTCTGGTTTGTTCTCTAAAAGCAATTCTGTAAAAAAAAGCAGGAAAATTTGATAAATGAATGAACGCTGTATCCAAACCTCTCACGTGCTCTGCACTTTCATGTTCTTTTTAGCTGTTCCCTACAGAATAAGGGGAAAACTACCATTTTCCTCACAAAGTAGCCAGGCTGATGTTTTCATCTTGGTTTAAGGGACACGGACTCACACCTACTATTAAAACCAAGCCTCGGCATCTTTCTAACTAAACTCATTTGACAATTCTCAGCCTTGGAACTGGTCTCCATACTCAGACACATCTAAAAATAAGCCAGGGACTTTGAATAACATCTGACAGGCTGAGAAAAGCACCCGAAAGAGCAGCAGTGACCACACTTTCAATAAATACCCAATTACATTCATCTTGTTTACATGAGTCTGCAGTCAGCCCCTACGAGGACTTATTTCGGTCTCTCCACTCTGACAGCATTTGAAGTCACATTCCTGAGCAACACCATTTTCCATGCAGAAGGGAAGTTTTGTCAGAAAACACCTCACAAAAGACAAAATCCTTCCCTGTTTCTGATGTATTTGCCATCCTCTTACTACATCAGTGCTGCTTCACAGCAGCTGATCAACAGCAGCAACCTGGAATTCCTGCAAACCAACATCTCCCAGTGTCCACAGAACTTCAATACTAATATCAAATTATTTTTCCCACTGTACAAACACCACAGGTCAACCAGGACCTCAGTGTGCAGGGCACCATCCAAAATACAGGATGGAGCTGTTTTGGTACCTAAAAATTAATACATACTCAAATGAGTCAAAACAGACTCAAGTGGGGTATTTATAACCGAATGTTTTCTTACAGACAAGCTTCTGCAGCAGACTCAGCTGCCAGTATTTGGTCCACGCCTACAGACCAGGAGCTGCCTCTCAGCTCTCCCATCCCTGGGATGCCCACAGCCCATGGGCTTCTTCTCCCTCTCAAGGACCACTCCTCTAAGAAAGGCCTTTTCCCCTCCTCGCTCCACATGTGCCTAGACCCCTCCTCTTCTTATCGCCTGCAGCCCCCAAGAAAACTCAACACCTCCACCCCCCCACACCCCACCTGCCGCCTCACAACGCCGGGCACTCACAGCCCAGCTCCTGCGTGCTTCACGGTCCCTTCTGTTTCTCCCCCACCCAGACAAGCCCTACCTCCTCCTCCCCTTCCCCAACAAGCCGAGAAATGCCCCTCCAGCGCACCGCGAGGCGTCCCACACCCTCCGCACTCTCAACGCCCGTTTGATCTCCCGAACGCAGCCAACCGCCCCCTTCCC